TGTCAGCTCAATTACAATAATTATATGCCATTTAGGGACTCACACTAGAAGTAATACATTTTTAAATTATTCAGCTTCTAGCCCATTTTCATTATTTTATAAGAAGATATGCCCTTATGTTATTATCATGTTCATGGTTCTGTTTTGACCTAATAACTTTTTAATCGATTTAAAACTGGAGAAAGGAATTTTCTTTAATGTCATTCCTTGACCTGTGTTCTCCTTGATACTCCTTTTACTAAAACTTTCCCCAGTGATCAAGGTTTTTTCCCTCCTGGGAAAGGTTTTGGGTATTTTTGGAACGCTATCTTCATTTGACATGTTTGCGAAATTTTCCTGAGAATATTCTGGAAGAATGTCCATTGAAAGTCCTGACATCAAGTCATTTATCAGTTAGTTTAGCAGATTAAGGGCTATTTCCTAACACATTACCTAACCTTTAAACACCAGGCTTTTTAAATGGTGGTAAGCTTGAGCTGGCCAGAGTTTATTTAAATGCCCGCTGCTGGTGCGAGTTTAAATGCACATTGCTACTCTGCATTTAAATGTCCATTCCTCTTAGGGCGCTTAAACAATTTTAAGCATTGTGTTTAAAAATGCTGTGTCTAGCACAATTTTTATGATAAATGCATGGAATTAACTTTGTTTGTATCGGCAAAGAACATAGTGTCGCATATTACAATGGAAGATTTGAAAAATTTTATACAAAATTTATATTCTATTTTTAATTTTTTCTCTTAATTTTTATGTGTACTGCAATATTGGTTTCGAAGTTCTTCACAGAGTTATTTTGCATTATAAATTCATCTCTGTTTGTAACACTTGCCAAATTTTAGCAGTCCCTGGTGCCATAAAACAGATGGAAGCATCACAATCATTTGGTTCTCTGCTGGAAAACCTTACATCTTTGTTACACTCTTCAGATTTTCAAATCTTTTGACTAAATGACAGAAGAATGAAAGCATGGCTATTCAAGAAATAGCTAGAGCGGTTCCTTCTACAGTGCTAAGACCTTCCGTTATAGCTTCAAAAGATTATTGCCCTCTCTGTGGGTGGGTGTGAACAGACAGCTGCAGCATGGCTGAGATACAGATTTTGATCCGTTTTCTGTGCGTTCGTAGTGAAATCGATTACTGTAGTTTCATTTCAGCCTATATATACATCAAACAGATAACAACAAAAAAGTTATGTACATTGAATTTGCTATATATTTTTAACACATTAATCTGCAGAACCTGCAATAAAAGTACTGGCTCGTGGATGAGTTAGGGCATAACTCATACGGATACTCTTTATGTTGTTGTTGTTCACTTAGGTATCATTTTAATTCCTCTATTAGGGTTCTACTCAAGTTGGTCTGGTAATGACTACATTTAAAAATAAATATTTAGGACTGTGCATGCGCTTCCACTAGCAGAGTTTAAATGCCCGACTGGCCAAAACGGGGTACTTTGGCCACGACGACCTTACTCATCACTGGCCCAAACAGGGCACTTCAGCACTTAAAGGTTAATATAGCTAAAGTTATGTCTTGCTTGGAAGCAAGTTCGAATTCTAGATCAGTGACAGCTTTTCCAGGTGTCATAGTTGTCTTAAGAACAGGAATGTCAGCGGGTGATTCTGTATCAGAATGCTAATGCTCACCATCTTTGGAGTACTTTGAAGCAGTGGCGTGCCACGCATGGAAGCAAAGGAAGCATTGCTTCCCTAGTTAATAAACGAAAAGAAAAGAAGTCATGTATAAAAAATTCAATTTAAATAAAAAGGATTTGAATATTGTCATTTAGCGCGTGTTCCTGCTCAAGGCCACATGCCTCCTCCACCTGCTCCCTTTCCCTCCTTGATGGGCAGATCAAGTTTCCTTCATTAAACTTTGTAATAATTCATCTCACACGAAGTGGGCAAACTTTCGGTTTGCTGGCTAATGCCTGTGATATGGAAGTGAAGGACTGTATTCTTTCAATGGTTATGTGAAAATTAACTGTTTATGTGTGATTTCAGTCTTGTTTTGTGTTATAGGTAACATTAAGTTTCATTAAAATATTGTAAGTGCGTATTTATATGGCATAAGATTGTGTCTGTGATCGTATTTTGACGCATCAGAAAGAAGCTATCCGCTTTTAAGGGAAGCAAGTCTGATATTGCGGTAAGATGGGCAGAAGAGTAAGTAGACTACACGCACAGGCCACAGCTAAAATGAATCCTGGCAGACAACGTGACTGCCACTGTGCAATCAAAAGCCTTTTAAAAGGGGGGTTTAATAGCAGGAACTTTTCTGAAAAGAAAATAATTATAGAAAGAGGACGACCGACATGAGAGTTGCCAGAACTTAAAGTACAAACCAAATTATGTATGAGGAAATTTAATTTTGAACAGTATTCTAAAACAGAATGGCTATCCAGTTGCTGTAATATAGGAAAATTATTTTGTTGGCCGTGCCTATTGTTTCTCAATGGGAAAAAATGTATGAAACAAGACTGGGTTTGGTGATATCAGTAACCTTCATAAAGCACTGAAATGACATGAGAACTCTCAGACTCACATTATTTCAACAGTGCAACTTGTTATGTCCGGGAAATCTCGAATTGACTATCACCTTGACAATCAAGAGCGCCTGACGATACTACATAAAGAAACGCTTGATTGATATCATGCCTGCGTGGTCATGATGAAAGCGTGGATTCTATCGACTGAGGTAATTATGTGAAATTAGTTCACTTGTTGAGGAAATGTGATCATAAACTCAATGTTCCCCTTGAGAACAGTACAGTATTTACAGGTTTATCGAACAGAATACAAAACGACCTTATTGACTCAATAAGTGACATAAATTTTGGTGAGCTGATTGCTATCAGTTCGTTTATTAGATACCACTGCTTCCCTAACCAAAAATAGTACAGCACGCCACTGCTTTGAAGTTACCTTATTCAAGAACAACCCTATAACCCTACCATTAACAACATAACCTACACACTGTATGCCATTTAGGTACTTTACAATGCTGTCAGTATCTGGACTATACAGGTGTCCCAGGAGGAATGTGCCAGACTTCAGGAGGGTGTTCCTTATGTTAAACTATGCCGATAAAACCCAAAACACCTATGTCCAAAGTTGAACAGTTACGGAGATAATGGCCCGAGAAAAATGTGGTCTTCTGGCAGGCCCACGCACTGTACCTGTCAGCTGACAAGTCTTATCTATGTTTGTCCTTGAGTGTGGTGATGACAGCTCACATTAGCCCCATACACTCGCATACCAGAATGCGCAGTCAGCAGTGTTACGTCAGTGCTTGCCATTCATGTCTCATGTATAGTGCTTGGAACTCTTAACGACAACTTTGACATGGCGTGTGAGTTTTTTGTAGTTCAATTTAACCTTTATCGGACGAACGTCATCATATGATGTCGTTAAAAGTTAGGGCAGCTGGCCGAACGTCATCATATGATGTCGCGGATTCCACGTGTGTAAGGTTTTTTTTTAAATTATATTAAAAATAT